GGAAAGAGAGGGAACGCCAGCCTAGTGGGTTGATAGCAAGAAACCGCAAGACCTCTGACTTCCAGGAAAAGAAGTCCCTCTTGTGTACGATATTCAGCCTTCTCCAACCCTCTGTAACTAGCTCACCCCCCTTACGGGACGTTAGTAGACTCGCTCTACTGTCACATCTCACCACACCTCTGGGAGGGTGGAGTGGGCCCACTAAGTGTTGGCGATGCATTTATTGTCAGGTCACCCTGAGCGCCACAGGCTACAGTCCCTACTCACCCTGACTGCTGCAACTCCACTGGACCAGATCCTGCCCCCAGTTACTCAAATGCAATCCAGAATAGTGCCATGACTTACAATGCCCTGACTCCAGATGTACATCAATGTACTTGGTGCATTTGGCATCAAAGGATCCTTGAGCTGAATACATGGACAGCTTTTGGAGGAGAGACCAAAAGGCATGGGTCCTTCCTTTCCAGGACATGACCCTTCACCTTGAGCACTAGGCTCCCTCTCGTTTGCATTCCTTGTAGTCCCATGATGTTTGCTTGGCTGCCCAATGAAGAAGAGGGGCAGGAGTTATTCGACTGCAGAGCTCAGGGCTTGGGGCACTCTGCTAAGCCATAGGAGGTATGAAATGCTGTAATGATTGAGAAGTGTGAACCTTGTATGCCTTAGCAGAGTGCCCTAAGCCCCGAGATCTGGAGTAGATGTCACTGTGAACACCTCCTAGCCTGATTGTTAGAGGAGGGACACATTGCTCTTGTTTGCTCTTGTTTGCATAGATGTCCATCTTCTCAGCTCATCAGTCTTGCTAGGGTGCTTATGCCTTACGTTGTCAGGAGGAAACAGGATCCTGAGCTGATGGAGGCATCTTAGCACAGGTTAAAGTTCACCATTGGAATGAATCAAGAGTCATCCACTTCCTGGGTAAATGAAGATCTGTCTTTGGACGTATCTCAGATCTGCTCATTGCATGAAGGGGAGAGCTGTGTGGTTCTGCAGGTGGAAGTAGTTTTTGCCTCCAGGAGTGTGAGAGCTGCATCGAAATACAGAAGTACACCGACACAGCCAAAGTGAAGGTTATCCTGACCCTGCTTGTGTAGGCCAGGACTTTGCTGGTAGCCGTGCATTCAACACTGAGTGGGGAAAACAGAATTTAGCCCTAGATATTTCTCTGAGGGACAAGCACTTTCCAAGCATTACAGTGGTTTAAAACTGGTAGAGTCACAGCCAAGGTCTAATGTGGGATTTTATAGAGGTTTCTGGCTAATGAGAAATCTTGTTTAAGTTCTAGGAGGTTGAAATAATATTGCACTTTTCAGCAGACAAATGACTAACCCCCTTTCTGGAAATTAACTGTTGTATTTTCTGATCTATTTCTAGTGGACGATATTGGGGATTCTTCAACTAGGACAGATGTTATTGTCATTGCAGGTAAGTGTCGGGTGGTGTTTCAAGGTACTGTGACAACTAAGAGTTGTTTCCCATCTTATACAATCATAGACTTGGTCAACTTCTTACAAAAGCCAGTGTACAGATACTAAACAATGTTCAGAAAGCAGAACAAAACATTTCAGCCCATGTTTTTTGTAATGTTAACAGCTTAGTTTTCCATTTTGCCTAGGTCTTCCTACATTTTAAATCCAGGAGGGACCATTGCAATTGTGCGGTCTCGCTTCCTGCATAACCCAGGCTATAGGGCTTCTCTGAATTCATTTGCCTTCCAGCTGAAGCAGATTTTTCAGAAAAAAAAAACCCCATCCAGTCTTAATTTAAGAAGTTGACAGTGATGGAGAATCTAACACATTCCTTGCTATTTTTCTTTCCAGCGGTAAATCATGCTCCTTGCTAAAAAAGTTTTGCTTTACATCTGCTCGGAATTTGTCAGCTGCTTAAGGTTAAGCACATGTCGAAATGCAAAGCTAACCCGTGCCTCTTCATTTTGGTGAAGATACGATGTTATTTTAGTCTACCGTCACATCCCACCCAGTAGGAATTGCAAGGTTACCTTTAACTTAGCCAAGTGTTGAACCTGTAGCCAAGAGAGGGGAAGAATGAGAAATGTCCAAGAGTTTTGGATCATGTTTATGCCAGGGTGAGTCTGTGGTGACTCCTCACTGAATACAATATCATCCAGCCATTTAAGTTACCATCATTTGCAGCTGCAATTAGTTCATTGGTCATTGTCCCTGCATAAGGAGCTTCCCATCTGTCATTATTATTGTCCCCACTTCACAGAAGAAGAAACTGAGGTATAGCATAGTGGGATATACAACTAAAAATCACTGTATACCGTGAGATATAATGACTGCACCCACCGGGTTAGTGGCAGAGCCAGGGGCAGCGTTCATGTGTTTCAGGTCCCAGTCCAGTAGCTCACGCACGATATAGCCTTAGAGCTGGAAATACATCCTCTTCAAGAACCATGCTGCCAGTTGTTCCCTGCTCCACCTCCCTAAAGGAAGAGAAGGCAGGAAACCAGGGAATGGGGAAGTTATTATGGCAGTGAGAAGTTCCCTTTTTATCAGCAGAAAATGCTATCAGCATCTCCTCCATTCCTGGCCATGGGGGTGTCATTGAGCATAGCAAGCCCCTGCCTAAACCCACCCCACCAGCCCAAAATCCACACACAAGGCTAAGGCAGGTAGCCTCTGCTCCAGTTTTGCCTGTCTGCCTTTCACCTCATCTGTTCATCAGAAAGCATGCTTATAATCTCTAAAATTAAGCACTAGTATTTTCTGATTGATGCCTTGAGCCTAATGAGAGGTACCTTGAGTCTGAAAAGTTGGAGAACCACTGGGCTAGAGATTTCATATGAAATCTATGAAATCTCTAGCCCAGTGGTTCTCAAAGTTTTTAGACTTAAGGTACCTCTCAGAAGGCTTAAGGCATCGTTGAAAAAATACCATTACTTAATTTTCACTCATTTTTTGAATACAGGAACGTAATAGAGCAATTCTGTTGCAAAGAACTCAGAAAGAGCACAAGAGGTCAGAATAGTTTTCCCACTATGGGCTCCTCTTTGAAATCTTTGGGTTTATCTTATGGATCGTGTTTGCACACCTAAGAGTGCTAATATTGGATGGCACCCTGTCACACCTGTTGCACCAACAGTTTCGAGGAGGTGAGACCCCCCCAACTTGCTGGGCTTGTAAAGGGGTGGTGTGAGGACTACCAAACCACGCTAACATCGAAAGGACGTGGACAAGTTGGAGAGGATCCAAAGGAAGGCAACAAAAATGACTTGGGGGCCGGGGCACAGGACTTGTGAGGAGAGGCTGAGGGAAATGGGCTGATTTAGTTGGGAGAAGAAAAGATTGAGGGGGGATTTAATAGCAGGCTTCAGCTCCCTGCAGGTGGTTGCAAAGAGGATGGAGCTGGGCTGTTCTCAGTGGGGGCAGATAACAGGACAAGGAGCAATGGGCTCAAGCTGCAGCAAGGGAAGTTGAGGTTGGATATTAGGAAAAACTCTCACAGGGAGGGTAGTAAAACACTGGAACAGGTTACATAGAGAGGTGGTGGGCTCATCATCCATGGAGGTTATTAACACCCAGCTAGACTAAGCCTTGGCTGGGACAAGGTAGTTGGGGCTGGTGCTGCTTGGAGCAGGGGGTTGGACTAGATGTGACCTCCTGAGGTCCCTCCAACCCTCGTTTTCTGTCATTCTATGACATCCCCTTCAACACTGCCAGTTACAATACTGGACTCATTTTTTTGTAGTATATCAGCCTGAATGAGGATGCCAAGGGCAGGTTGAATAATGAAGATTTATTATTGACAAGCAACTTGGCATAAGCAGGAGTAACAATGTAATAAACAGTGAGACCAAACAGGAATGAGACAGGGCAAAAACAAACAGGGACGATACGGAATAATATAAACAATATTTTACCAACTCTACATTGACCACCAAGGGTTCAATGAGATGAAACAACTTCAGATGAGTAGACAGGGAGACAGGCAGTTTGTGTCAACACCAGTGCGATGAATCACATCAGCAACTCTCTCCTTCTCTTATCTTAAGAATTACTTTTACACAACTAAACTCCACACAAGACTCTCAAGGGGCACAATTACACAAGACCCTTACTGCGCATTAGCCTAATAACACTGCGCAGTAGAGTGGCAAATAAAAACTGTGCTAATAACCTACTGAGTGGTGTTATTAAGCTAAGGCACAGTAAGCAAGACAAAATAACCATGCACCAACACTACTGTGCAGTAACTCTAGTTACTGCGCATATAGTTAGGACTTTATTAAGCAAGTACTAAACTAAATGCACAGTATCTAACATGCATTAATGAACATGTAGACGTGCCCAAGGACTCTTTCTCCTCCCTAAACCAAGGTGCATTATGATCCGCTCTTCAGATCCTAATCCCCAGCACTGCAATCCTCAGATCCCTTTCAAGAGGTCACCACTCTCCTGAACTCAGTTTGCTGGAGACCCTGAGGAGCCTTTTTCACACCCTTTTATTCTTATTTAGCTCCCTATCACACCACTTTTCATAGAATCACAGACAATGAGGGTTGAAGGGACCTCAGGAGGTCACATCTAGTCCAACCCCTGCTCCAAGCAGGACCAGCCCCAACTACATCATCCCAGACAAGGCTTTGTCTAGCTGGGTTTTGAAAATCCCCAAGGATGGATACTCCACCACCTCTGTGGGTAACCTGTCCCAGTGCTTCACCACCCCCCTAGGGAGAAAATTCTTCTTAATATCCAACCTCAGCTTCCCTTGCTGCAGCTTGAGCCCATTGCCCCTTGTTCTGTCATCTGCCTGCACTGAGCACAGACCAACTCCATCCTCTTTGCAGCCCCCCTGCAGAGAGTTGACGGCTGCTATTAAATCCCACCTCAATCTCCTCTTCTCTAACTAAATCAGCCCAATTCCTTCAGTCTATCCTCATAAGCCATGTCCCCCAGCCCCCGCACAATCTTTGTCACCCTCCACTGGACTCTCTCCAATGTGTCCACATCCTTTCTGTAATGGGAATCCCACAACTGGACACAGGACTCCAGATGTGAACTCACCAATGTTGAATAGAGGGGAATAATTACTTCCCTTGACCGTCTGGCAACACACATACTTATCCAGTGATCTTTAACCTTTTGTCTGTCAATCAGGCATTCTTCCAATCATTCCTCCCATATTTAACCACCTTTTGTCATTCCAAACTGTCATTTAAAAGTGTCATTCGCCTCCTCCTCAGAACTTTCCTGCTCTTTTTAAACTCTTGACTGAGCATGCTTGCCCTGGCCAAGGGTTCAGAAAGTTCTGGAAAGTTCTTGAGTTTAGTGGTTATTGTACATGCACCAGTACCAAACTGCAGTGTTCCCTCTACACACCCTTGGAAGATTCTCAAGGCACCCCAGGGTGCCACAGCATCCTGGCTGAGGGTCATTGTTCTATCCATTCACCCCCTTGAAGCAGCCTCCTCTGTTACCTCCCACTTCCCATTGTATTACGCTCAAACCACAATTGCTCAAAATATGAGCTGGTCCCTGTTTCTCAGTGAAGAGACAACTGGGTGTTTTATGCTGGGTGTGTGTGAGAGGGCCCAAAGCAGATAATCCTGTAGACCTCTTTGGCCAAACGCCTGCAAACCGAGGGAACTGGGGGGTCCTTGTCAGTCCTATAAATATAAAGAAAACATTCTCCCTCCCCATTTCTAATAGTCATGCACTGAAGCAAATGCTTACATGACTAAGAATTATTTAGGCCAAATTTCTGGGGGCATAAAGTGGTTTAAGATCAGAGCTATGCTGTTTTACACCGCTGGATGATCCAGCCCCATTACATCTACAAAATATATTACAGCCCATTTCCTAGCGTGCTATTAAAGTACTCTCCTACATTTCAAATAAATACAGTTGTCAGAATAAATAAGCAAAGCTCGGCATAGGGACGGAGCCCGGTCTTTTTTATTTTGATGTTGTTTGCTCGCTCCCTCGCTAAGTTGCTAATTCCAATAATTCACAAGGGGGTTAACCAATCATTAGTGCAAATTGGTGAGGTTCTGCTGTATTTCCCTGAGGTTCCATCTCCTGTAAGTTTAATTCCAGCTTCCTGTGAACAAGCAGAAGGGTAAATTGAATTGCGCTTCATCCCTTAGGCTTTATTAATATTGTGCCAGATCTAAAGCCCATTAAAACCTGTTGTGCCATGGGATACCAGTGAGGTCCTATAAATTGATGAAGCCCCTTTTGGAGCTACCATATTATTGTCGACTCCACTTCTATATATGAGAGATTTTTATTTCTAATAACAGTTAGTTAAAGTTTCCAGAATTAGGTACCATAAAACCGTAGGAATTAATTTTCAAAGTGCATTTTGAAAAAATACAGTGGTCTTCGTTATTCATCTGCAGGGTATAGTCTACATTCCCTTCTATAACAGACGTCCCCCTCATAATCCTGCTGATAAACATGGCCATCTATACCATGAAAACCTACAGTGAAAGTGCATTCAAAGACTAAGCCCAGACCCTCAAAACTAATGAGGAACCTAACTCCCTTTAAAACCAATGAGACTTAGGTGCATAAATGGTTTGGGGGAAATGGCTGTTATTGTGTGTATCCATGAAGTTTGCTAGCTCTTGTGAGTTAAATGCAGACAGTCAAAAAGTCTGGGGTTGAATCGATTCAATGTTTGCAGCTTAGTTTAAGCTGCGTAGATTGAACCCATAAGCAAGTGAACAGACATTCACTTTTGATTCTGGAAATGCAGTGGTGCAGGCCTGCAGACAGGGGGTGCTAGACCATGCCTCTCTGCTTGGCTGGAGCAGATAGCTTGGACCAAGGCTAGCCCACCCACTCTGCAAGGGGGCATGGGGGTTTGCAGGGGAGGTGCAAAGCATCCTGGGATGCTGGGGGACTGTGAGTTAACTTAAATCTGGAGGGGATCTGGGACAGAAGTTCAGTAAACCAATTTGACTAACCAGCTAAGTCTGATACTACGTCCATCCAGATTTATCTTAAACTGGTTTGGGCCATTTTGAAAGTGGTTTGTGTGCACTGAGCTTCTGTTGTGTTACGGTTTTGATCTGGTTTCTGATCACTTATGTTGATTAATGTGTAATTTCCGTCCCTAGCCATAATGTAGTCATGAACTGTGGGATGTTCAGTTTATCTGTTAAAGCTCCAGCTCCTGGAGCCAAGTGAATACATGTGAGCATCTCATCTTCCATTTATATTTAAAAAAGAAATAAAGATTCCCAGTTAACATGGTTGCAGACAGAAGTTTGGAAAAGTGACCAGATTGTAATTTAAAGGGTAAAAGAAAAATAAGACCAAATAAATAAATCCAGAGGTTTGGGGGGGGGGGGGGTTTATGGAAAGAAATCTCATTATTTTGTGCCAAGTTTGGGTGACATCTCATGATTTCTGAATTATGGCATTCCAGAGTGCATTCTCCCATAGGGAGGAAACACAGTGGGAGTGGCTCTGAAGTGCCCAAATTTCTACAGTTCCCTGTTTAGCCCGGTTTCACTCCCCTACAGCTGGACAGCTGCTAATCAGGGCTTATTCATTTCCGTGTTCAAGATGCCTTTAGGAAATATAATTTCTTCTCCAGTTGAGAAGTTGCTAGTGTTAGCCAGGCTCAAGGATCCCTACAGAATTCCTTGTATTGGGTGCCTCTTCCACAGTCATTAGAAAATACATTTGCTTAATTAGAGCATGCAGCAGGTAGTAAATACAGAGCAGCGCTACAGGCATGCTGAGACATCTGTTCCCAGTGACGTGTTCCCTTGCCATCCCTGAAGTCACAGAAAATCATCACTTGGGTGGGATTGGGCCCATTTAAGACCTCACCTGGAAGTTATCACGAGGGCACAACCCCCTGGTGATTAACAGGCAATCCCCTGGTGATTTCTGCTTTGGATCATCTTGTTTTGGTCCATTTGGGGATGAATGCATATGTTGGACAAATTCAGGCATTGAATCCAAATAGCTGGTAGATACATTTGAAAGAAGTCAGTCTGAGTTTTTTAACGTGTTCCTGCAAAACCGTTAATTAGTCCTGGCTTTCTGGAATTCTGTCATCTACCAATCTATCTATCCACAGACCTGTATAAACCTCATCATCACCAGGGATCCTGGTTTTCTCTGATTTAAAAAAAGTCCCCAATTTTCAGATTAAAAAAAGGAACCCCAAATCCACATTTTCCATGATTAAAATAAAGTGCCACTATATATATATATATATATATATATATATATATATATATATATATTATCAATTGGGGACTTTTTTTAAATCAGAGAAAACCAGGATCCCTGCTCATCCCCAGCAGGTCTGAATGTCTTGTTACGATACATGCTTCCTCTCCACTGTGTCAAGTATCCAGGTTGTGGCCATATTGGCCTAGAGGCAAAAAAAAAATCTAAACTCATGGTAGAGGTGATCTCTTTTATTAGACCAACTAGATATTTGCAAACAAATTATTTTTAACCAATCTCTGCTCTCTCCTCTCTACTGAACACTCAGTGGTGTGAGGTCAAGTGAGGGCTGTGTACGGTGGCTAATTAAGACATCCAATCCTTTCTCTTCTCCTTCTAGGCGTTATTGCAGCAATTGCTTTTGTCCTCACCTGCCTGGTGATTGTGATGCTTCGGTACCTGTACAGGCACAAAGGCACCTACCACACCAACGAGGCAAAGGGAACTGAATTTGCCGAAAATGCAGACACCGCTTTGAAAAACGACCCTGCTCTCCAGGAGGCGGTGGATGAGAGCAAAAAGGAATATTTCATCTGAGAGTTAAAGAGTCCACATGAAGACTTTCTTCATGCTCCTTTCCCCAAGGGAATCAATCAGAAGCACTGCATCCACGGCAACTTCAAAAGATGGATATTGCAAGGGTATAGGCAAGCCTCCTAATTGAAATGCTACTTCTTTATTCTTCCCCATGATGAACTGAATGCCAGATACTTGGCTGTTGATTTTATTAGCAGCACAGCTGGTCACAGTTGAATTCAATATCAGATAAGAAGAAACAAAATCTCAGTATGAGTGATATACCAATACTAGATAATGATATCAAATGTCAAACCTTGACATTTGGTGAAAATAACAGCTGCCAATGGAAAACATTCACTCAAAGTTAATGATGCATCCTACGCTGATATTATACAGGACTACCTGAAAATGAAATTCAAATGGCAATAGAACAAATGCTAAACCAGATAAAGCTGAGGTTACCAGAACAAATATTGATTTGTAGTCCGGATTTTTCCCCTTTAAATGTGTGCATTTCCAAGTGTGAGGATCTGAGGGCCTTGGGGGGAGAGAAGTTTTTAGATTTTTGTTTTTTTTAAACCAAAGATATTTCACAGAAACAAAACACCATAGCAAAAGGTAGGAAAAGAGTTAAGAGTGAAGATTTTTTTATTTATAACTGGCTTTGCATGGCAACTTGAGAATTGCGATGGGTTGGATACTATAGTGTACTAGGTAATAACCAGTAGGCTTATGAATATGATTGTAAATAGCCTCTAGGTCCCTTGAACGCATGCCAAAGTAGGTAGATAGTTAAGGTCAAGAGTATTGGTTAGTGTAGGGTTTCTGAAACACCCGATCTCAACTAGATCTTAGCGGAGAGTTTTTGCTCTGGTATTTATTTATTTATTTTACTTTGAGATTTCTTTTGAAAAAAACATCAGCTGACATTTTTGGGAATTGAGGCTACTTAAGGGGAGAAAGAACTCTTAGTGGTTCACTATAATGAAAACCTGTAGTTGTTTGAACCCTATTCCTTTGCATTGATTTCACCTTTTTTTTCTGCCCCAATGGCTTTTAAATATTTCCACGTGGCACTGGATACAAAAATTACACTGAGCATCCGCTCTTTAAAAAATAAATTGGAAATACTACATAACAGCAAAGATCCTGCTCATCACAAAAGAACTGACTGTGATGAATTCCTTCACCCCAACAAGCTGTCTGCCTAATTGAAGCCAACAATTAGTGCAAGAAATTGGATTAATTGTTTTCTGCACCTGCCTATCACCAGATGCATGTATGCTCTTAACTATCAAAAATAGAGGAGGGAGGGACATAATTAATCACAAATACTCCATTTACCAGCTATACTCTTTGTACTCAACAGTCTTTCTATGTTTTGATTAAAATATATATATATCTATATAAAGTTATGTACAGTTGTGCTTTCAACACTTTGCGGCTGATCCTCACTCCTTGGCACTGAAACATGGAAGGTGCCTTGAGTACAATGTGGCTCACCATGCTGGCCATATAGCCATGAGAGGGAGAAATTGCTGAAGGAGAAAAGCCACAAAGGAACAAAGAGAATTACTTGTGGTCTCTCAGCACCTACAGGAGGAGGATTTGAGGTATTATAGGCCTAAAGATTTAAATTTGGCTAATACAAAACACTTGCTTTATGCTTTTAGCCAAAGGACACTGCAATATTGCCAACTTACAAAAAAGCTTACGTTCAAATTCTATATGCTATTTTACAGCTATGTCATATATAATAGCTAACAAGATAGTACTAAGTTGTGTGCATTTTCCTAACCATATTCAAGTATGGGGTCATCATGTACATTTGACTTCTTTTTTTTTAATTTGCATTTTAATCGTTTTTCCACTTTCTCAACATAATTTAGAACAAGCATCAAGGAGAAAATTATTAAACTAGCAGCAAAACTAAGCTTATGCATCTAGAGACACTAGAAAAAGAGGCAGAAATTAGGTTTTACTCTTCAGTTCAATATTAAATTTAAACTCTTGTAAAAAAAAAAAAAAGGCAATAAGCTTCAGGCCTGGTGCCAGACTGAAAAGCATGTATATATTTGCTATGGGCATGGCATGCTTGCAATGTATCCATGTCTCTCATCAGGGCAGAGATCACCTAAAACCTAAGGACCACTGATATTGCAGGAAACAAATTCCTATCTCACCCCCATAAGACCCTTTTGATTTTTAGGACTTGAGCCAGTTACACCGAACTAAGCAGTACAAGGGGCTGGTGGGATATCTGAATATTTGCAAGATACCCTAAGGCAATTTTTCTCCTTATGAGTGAATGAAAGAACCTGACCAAGTCTGAGATGCCATACTCATTTAGGTCATCATAATCAATGGCAATCCCTTGCCGTCGAGGATGATTGTCTTCCATGATTGTCTTACCTGTGGGTCCGAAGATGACTGATGAGGCTGATCTGGGATCAACAGACTTTGCTGCAGCTCGGGCACATGTTTCCATGCAAGCGGGGTGGCTCTGGGTTCATGATTTGGTTCGTGACATGCTGTTTCTGCCACTCCTGCTTTTCCATCTCCTGTTGTTGCCATAAGATTTCAAAGTACTGAGATCCTTGCAGCTCCTTTGGCATGGTTCATAGATTCATAGATTGTAGAGTCGGAAGGGACCACAATGGTTCATCGTGTCCGACCACCTGCCCCTGGCAGGAAAGAGGACTGAGGTCAGATGACCCCAGCCAGGTGACTATCTAGCCTCCTCTTGAAGACCTCCAAGCTAGGTGATAGCACCACCTCTCTTGGAAGCCCATTCCAGATCCTGGCCACCCTTACCGTGAAAAATTTCTTCCTAATATCTAACCTAAATCCACTCTCAACTAGTTTATACCCGTTATTCCTAGTCACTCCCTGGGGCGCCCTAGTAAACAGTGCATCCCCTATTCCCCGTTCACCTCCCCTAATAAATTTATAGGCAGCCACAAGATCTCCCCTCAGCCGTCTCTTGTGAAGGCTGAAGAGATTCAGCTCTCTCAACCTCCCCCCGTAGCATCTATCATGAAGGCCACTAATTATGTGAGTGGCCCCCCTCTGGACGCTCTTGAGATCCCCCGCATCCCTCTTGAAGTGCAGCGCCCAAAACTGGACACAGTACTCCAACTGCGGCCTGACCAGTGCTGCATAGAGGGGGAACATCGCCTCCTTTGATCTATTAGTCATGCACCTGCTAATTCACGACAAGGTGTGATTGGCTTTGTTGATGGCCTCGTTACAGTGCTGGCTCATGTTCATCTTGGAGTCAATTATGACTCCAAAATCCCTCTGTGCCTCCGAGCTACTGAGAAGGACACTCCCTAACCTATAGGTGTGCTGGGGGTTCCTCCTTCCCAGGTGGAGTACCTTACATGTATTTTTATCTTTATGGTCTTGGACAATAGATTCCCACAATGTTGATGTTGCATTTTTTTCAAGTTGGCCTTGAGGACATCCTTGAAGGACTTTCTCTGCCCTCCTTTTGAGCATATGCTTTGACTGGGCTCGGAGAATAAAACTTGCTTCAGGAGTCTGGAGTTGGACGTACATAGGAAGTGGCCGGCCTAGTGAAATTGAAGTTGGATAATTACCACTTTGATGCTCATGGTGGTTGCTTGTGAAAGGATGCTAATGTCGGTGCATCTGTCTACCCCCTGGATTCAAAGGATCTTCTGCAGGCAATGTTAATGGCATTTTTCCAGCATCTTGAGATCTCTCCTGTACATCTTTCTTGAAGATTGGCACAATCCTGGCAACCCTGAGGTCATTTGGGATTTCCTTATTTCAGATCCTTAAGATGTGGACATGGAGCTATGATGTGAGCTCCTCTCCCCCATGCTTGAAGATTTTGGCAGGGAGTCAATCAGCTCCAGGTACCTCATTATTTTTCATCGGCTTGGTGGCTTTCCTCACCTCATCGAGGGTCAGAGAGATTTTGAGATCACCTCTGACTGGGTTTTGTGGGATGGATTTAGCCAACAGCCAATAGGCAACTATTAGTCATAAAGGGTCTAGATTTTTAGGTAGCATGAAGTGGCTTCAGTAAAGCTACCTCGATTCATATCAGCTAAGAACCTGGTCCAATATTTGAATATTTAGGATCCCTCAAACCTGAAATAATGCAACTGCTACTCTTTGAACATGCCCCAATTTAGTAGCTTGCTTCATTTCTTCAAGCTGTTTTTCTGCACTCATCCAGCCAATGGAGCAATCCAAGTCCATAATGACATCCTGCTCATCACTAATGAGCCTTTTCGAATGTTTGCAGAGCAGTAACTTTGGCACTGGCCATGTTTTCGGTTATTTTCTTTCAAAAAGCCTTCTGATGCTGTCCTCTTGCGTTCCAGGGTTTTGCCTTATTTAGAAATGGCTCGAGCACTCGGAGCAGAGCAGAGCTCAGCTCTGGGTTTTGTTTGTCTGTCTTTTTAGGACAACCTTGGCTTTGTAAAGGAAGGGAAACATCTGACAGCACCAGAAGATTGGCACGGCTTGAAGGGCCCAATCCTTTTGCCACACAATAGCCCCACTGTCTTCAGCCCACATGGCTCTAAACCACTGCATTGCAAATTAGTCGTAACTTTGAGGGATAATTTACAAAACTTTTCTTTGTAAGTCACAGGCTAAGCAAAACAAGGCACCATGTGCAACACTGGTGCCTGCAGGTGGTCACAGCCTTTGATCAAAAACAGCTAATTGATTTGAAAACCAGCATTGAAAGGTTTGGGCTATTTGTGAACTCCCAGGATTCAGTAATAACCAAGATCAGGAAATAGGATATTCTTCTATGTGAGCAACTATGTGATTAGTACAAATGTTCCTGTACTAGTGTTTTATAATGACTGAGTGTCAATATTGTGTACATAAAGCCATAATGCCTGTATTCAGAAGCAAGAGTCATTTTTCAAACCTGCCTTTTAGTGCTTTAGTATCTTTTTGTATTGAATCATCAGATATGTGCTATTTTTGATGCTGTTTGGACACACGAGGTGTGGTGCGGTGGTTTGTGTGTGTATATGTATATGTATATGTATCACACAAAACCTAGTCAGAGATGAGATAGATAGATAGATAGATAGATAGATAGATAGAGAAAGTTAAGAAATATAGCTGATAATTTGATTAGATTCAAACAATTATCTGGAAAGAGTCCTGTTTACGTCAGTAGGCTGTAGGGCAGGCCCCTGGAGAATTAAAGCACGTCCCAGTGAAAAATGGCATCGTTTGTGAAAGAAAACAGAGCAACTTTTCAACTCCATCCTCAAGCCTAGATTAAAGCAGGCTTTGAAAACAGGATGTGGACACCTGTTACTGTGCTTGTTCCCATGATGACAGCATATTGCCGTCAGTGCTAATTGTACCAGTGTTAATAGGAACGGTCCCAGCAATAACCCTGCCGGCTGACGGGAACACTTGTGTAAGCATTTCTGTAGCCCAAAGGCTCTGATTTCCAGGTGCTAGTGGGCACCGACGTGGCAGCATTTCCCCTGTTGGTTTATAGAGTCAATATTTCCAAAACCTTGGCTACATTCATATCGAAGCTGGTGGGGTTGAACCTCAAGC